ATTACCCACATATCCTCTGGCCAGTTCATCTGTTCAGCTAATTTCTCAAAGGAAATGAAAAAGGTTTCTACATCTTTTTCATTGAATTTTGGTAATGTTTGGGCATATTTGTATATATCCCTAACAGGCTGTTGGCTATGATAAGTTTGCTCATCATCACTTCTATCTAGTACTTTTACTTCTGTCATATGAATTCTTTTTGCTTCAAGTTCCAACTTCATCCTTTCCAACTCAAACATTCTTTCCCTTTCTTCTGCCATGCTATCCTCTCCAGTTCTTTTTGTTCAGCTAGGAACCTTCTTTCCCTTTCTTTCTCTTCTGCTTTTAACCGTAATTCAAATGTTTCAGTTCCCTCTCTTCTCTGTATTTTTCCCTTTCTAACTCCAATTGTCTCATTTGCAATTTAATCTTTTCTAACTCGACTGCACTTGACTGTTTCTCTGCTATATCTAAATGCTTGACTAACTCGGTTACAATTTCAGCTTTCTTTTAATCCCTCGTTAAACCCAATTTTAGCCCATCTGCTAATTCCAGAAGTATCCTCCCTTTTTCTGTCTTTTCAAACTTTCTGGGAAAATTTGGGAAGCATCTTCAACTCTCTTTAGCAAGATTAAAGAGCCATTTCCCCACTTTTGATTTAACCAACAAGCAACAGAAATTAAACAGATTTTCCACTTCTCACTTAGGTTTTATGTAAAGATGTAGATCACTTGTCCCCAAGTATGTTTAAATTTGCTGGGAATTTTCGTACCCCAAATCCATTCAGATCTGTCCAAATCCTGAAAGAGCTCCCAATTTGTTATAAAGCGGAGGTTGACTCTGACACCCTCTGAGAACTAAAAACAAAACACCTAAAGAGGAGTACCTTGACCTACAATCTGTAAAAGGAGAGTGAAAAATGGTGTAACCTGCCGCTCAGCAACTTCCAGTGGTTAAATAAACTAAACCCCTGACACTCACTTTACAATCAAGTCACAATTTGTTTATCTAACTCTAACAGTGAATAAATTAACTAAACTATTAACAAACCCCAAGTACATATTTAAAAAAGAATTTAGTCTCTTGAAACTACAGCCAGGTTACATGTCTTCTGGAATGTTCTGTGCCTTCTCTGTCAATTCTACTGTCAGGAATGCCTTCTGTGTCAATTCTTCTGCCAGGAATGTTAACTGCTTGTGCTGTGGGTACCTTTGTTATTTGGATGGTGCTTTCTCTAAGATTTAGATGAGTCTGAGAGAGCCAGTGATTCTCTCCAGAGCTGAGGGCTGTTAATTCTGGCAGATGGCTGTTAACTCTGGGGTTTTATCCAACAGCCCCCTTCTTTTATACCCTTGATGACATATCAATTTCTTACGATCGGTCCTATGTTGTCAAAACCATCAGATTTAAATTTAATTGATTTTTGGTATCTAAGTGCCTGGTTCAAATTGATTGGCTAAATTCAAAACTTGTTGTCTTGGTAAAAACTGCTGCTTGGCCTGCTAACTATATGGTCTTTTGATACAAATGTTTCAAGTTGGGTGCTCTGTGTACTTAAACTTTCAAGCTGCTGCTCACAGACATCCATTTTAAATCTTTAAGCATAGAAAAAGTACATCATCTTTTAAAGGGATCATGCAATACTACATTCCCCTAGCATTTTACAAACACCAAATTCTAACCTCTTGCCTCCCAATGCACAAGTACTGTACCCAACTTCGCAATAGCTGGAAGAGTGTGGTTTTGGATTGATTTATTTATTGTCACAAAATACAGTGAAAAGTGTTGTGTAGTGTCGCCATACTGTGGCGCCATCTTAAAACATAGAAAAATAAATCAAAACATTGACTATAAAGGTAGAAAAACAAAGAAATAAAGGAAGTGTCCAACTTTACAGTCCTTCTTGTCAAGTGTTCCATCCTGGGCCATGCGCCTGTTTGCCAGGCCTGAGTCCCCTTCGCCGTGTGACCGCTGCTGGAACAAAAGTCGCCACTCTTGAGCACCACCTCCCAACAAAGCCTTTGCCACTATGAGTCCTCAGTAGACCTTGACAATGCAGATGCCACTGATGCTGCTGGGTACCACATCGGCACAAACTTGACCCGTCGCCTTGCGTCTGCTTTGGGCCCACTTCACTGAAGCAGCTGCTGCTGATCCCACTGGGTCTTGTACTGGGCCCAAGCTTGCCTCTGCTGCCATCTCTATCAATCTGCACTGGATGCAGAAGCCACTAGGAACCCAAACTCGCCTCTGCAGTGGCAGCCACGAGTCGGTGCTAGGACTGTCTCATTGACGCACAAGCCGACTGGAACTCAAACTCTCCAAAGCCACCACCATGAATCCACGCTGCTGGACCCACTCACCACTGATGTTGTTGCCGAGACCGAGCTTTTCTCCAAGAGGTAAGTAAAACAAAATAGAAGTTTAAAAAAAGCGAGGGAAGAGAGAAAAAAATAGAAATGAGAAGAAAAGCAGACTAGCCCCATGCTCAGAAGCCCTACTCCACCATCATCTTATTGGAAGTCTTTGGGTAGCGGAGGCAGTCTTGACTATTTCTGTAACAGATGATTTGAGGTAAATCCAACGTTTGGATGTGAAAATAGATTATTTTGCTGATGGTATGAACGTGGGTTGGGAGCACACCTTGGGCTAAATGTGACACTAACGTGCTGAACAGTATAGTTTAGTCTCAGATAGTTTGGGAGAGGAATGGAGTCTATAGCTAAGGAGTGGTGTTTAGAGCAGGCACCGAGAAAAATATCACCAGAGGAACTTTCCAGTCATCGAGAAATGGCTGTGTTGCAAACACTGCAAGGGTGAACTCTAACCTTACAGAGTTTATTCTTTTCACTTTGCACTGCACCCTCAGGAAGTAGTTATTAATCATATGTTAAATGTAAAGCAGAGGTCCCTGAATTCTGCACAGAAAATACAGCCTGAACTGTTTCAGGCATCAATTTCACAATTGCTCTTTCACATTTGCAGACTCTCAAAACATGTTAGTTCTGTGTCTTTTAAAAATTCTTTCATGGGATGTAGGCATTGCTGACAGGTCAGTATTTGTCACCCATCCCCAGTCAGCCTTGAATGAAGTGGCTTGTTAGGCCATTTCATAGGGCAGTTAGGCTTGATACAGTGTGGGTCACGTAAGCTAACCCTGGCAAGGACAGCAGATTTTCTTTCCTAAAGAGCATTAGTTTATTCAGATGGGTTTTTATGACAATCATTTAAAATTTCATGGTCACCATTATTGAGACTAGCTTTCAACTCCAGATATAAGTGCTTTGACAGTTATACTACCAAGGATTGGTAATGAGCACAATATGGAGAAAAAATAAATGGGTCATTTTTGAATTAGTAGATTGCAACCAGTGGGGCACCATGCTGTTCAGTGCTTAGAGCTTAACTATTTACTGTCTATATCAATGAGTTAGATGAAGTGCGCACAAAACAGATTGATCAACTGACATTCCTCAGCAGCTCCACTCCTCCATCAACAGAAAGCTCTGACATCAGAGGATTCCTACTGCAGATTTCCTAAGATTTGTTAGGATAGGGAAAACAGTGAATGAAGAAATTATTAAGAGACAAAAGGGGAATTTTTCATTTTCTATGCAGACATTTGGCTGATATCCTGGATATCTTTGATGAACGTTATGCATTACAGTAATGACCAAGCTATGTGACTGCCTGAATATGCATCATTGTTTCCTTGATTGATTTAGTCTCACGTTCGCAGCCATCCATCTGGTTCACTGACTTATTCCTTTAAGTTGGAGAGCCACAATGTGGGAGTCTAGCCTATTCTGGATAACAGAGTACGGTTATAAGAAGGGTATGTAAAAATTGGAGACTTGATAGCATACTACTGCTATTGCCACCGAACAGCAAAAATTGTTCAGAGCTCACCAGATGGTTGGTGCAGGGAGTTCAAATCAAGGACACACAGGCTGTCATGGATAGGATTTTCACTGAAGTTCACATTTTTGGGACAGAAGAAAAGGAAGGAAGACAGTTCTTTACTTGGTCAGCTATCTTAACTGATTTTTTTTTTATATAATTCACTTGTGGGACGTGGATGTCACTGGCTGGCCAGTATTTTATTGCCTGTCCCTTGTTGCCCTTGAGGTGATGGTAGTGAGCTGCCTTCTTGAACCTCTGCAGTCCACATGCTGTAGGTTGACCCACAATGCTGTTAGGGAGGGAATTCCAGGATTTTGATCCAGCAACAATGAAGGAACAGCGATACATTTCTAAGACAGGATGGTGTGTGGCTTGGAGGGGGTCTTGCAGGTTGTGGTGTTCCCATTTATCTGCTGCCCTTGTCATTCGAGATGGAAGTGGTTTTGGGTTTGGAAGGTGCTGTCTAAGGAGCTTTAGTGAATTTCTACAGTGCATCTTGTGGATAGTACACACTGCTCTTACGGAGTGTCAGTGGTGGGGATAGTGGATGTAGTACCAATCAAGTGAGCTGCTTTGTCCCGGATGGTGTCAAATCTAGGAGCATTGTTGGAGTTGCACCCATCCAGGCAAGTGGGAAGTATTCCATCACACTCCTGATCTGTGCCTTGTAGATGGTGGACAGTCTTTGGGAGCTAGGTGGTGAGTTATTCACCGCAGTATTCCTAGCCTTTAACCTGTTCTTATAGCCACTGTGTTTATGTGACGAGTCCAGTTGAATTTCTGGTCAATGGTAATCCTAAGGGATAGTGGGGGATTCAGTGATGGTAACAGCATTGAGCGTCAAAAGGACAGTCATTAGATTGTGTCTTACTGGCGATGGTCATTGCTTGCCATTTGAATGGCGTGAATGTTACTTGCCATTTGTCAGTCCAAGCCTGGATATTGTCCAGATCTTGTTGCATTGAACATGGACTGCTTCAATTTTGGAGGAGTCTGGGAATGTTTAATGCTGAAACTGGTATTTGCAGCTACCAATATTTCTTCACTTAGTGCTTTAGAAATTTCACTGCAAACTACACGTTTGAATCCAAGTAAATATACTTCAGTGATTTCTGTACCTTCTTCCTGGGTCTAAGCTTGTCCCTCCACTCCTTCAGCTCCTGACCGTGCTCTTCATCCACCTCCTTCAGCTTGTGTGTCTCGTGTTCAATTAGCAAATGGCACTTTTCATTCTGCCAGGAGGAGGAGATTAGACAAAGATAGTCATCAAGCTGCAATGGGATTCACACAAATGAACATAGATGCAAAACGCAATACCAATGATGACATTGGACCAGGGGTAAAGTAATTCACAGGTAGAAACTGGATCAGTAATGAGAGACTCAGTCCCAAGAGAAAGGAATAGCAAAACCCAAGGCAAAGATCATGATGGAGGGTATATTTATAGTTTTTTTTATTTTGGCTGATTGCCTTTAAAGTTAATTTGAGGCTTAATTTTTAAACTCATCTTTTTTAAGTCTTCAATTTTATTTCTGGTAAGTCTAGTTTTATAGTCTAGAATAGTAACATATCAACTCATCTCAGTCCAATCAAATGTTCTTCCTGAGCCATGTGGGTTGTGCCCTGGCCAACCATGAGCAGTAAATGTTATCAGCCGGGAGTCGCTCATGTCCAGCTTTCAAAGTCTGAACAGCAGCTTGAAGCCACTGTGGTATCGTCTAAGAGCTAAGAGCTAAGAGCGTTCAGATGGTGAATATTTCACAGTTTAGTAATGATCAGGCAGACCAGGGCAGGAAGTGCAGGGTTCCCTTTGTGTCTTGTACTATCTATTGCCATTCAGATCTGGATAAGGTGTGGTTTATAGTTCCCGAGAGCCATAGTCAAGTCCAGTGTTTACTGACCATCCCCCACACTGCCATGCTCCTGCTGATAATGGACTGACCAGACATGAACAAGCAGGCACACTAATCTCATTGAGATGAGTAAATAATATCCACTTCATAAAAGCAACATTAAAATGTTAAAACATTAAGTCATCATTTTTACATTGACTTATAAAGAATTATTTAGGTGGAGGGGATACTGATAATTATTAATCCATTTGAAAAGATCTCATATCAAAATAGTTTGAGAAGCAGTGTTTGAAATATTATTAACCTACTGTACATGCAGCACTTCTGCACCATGAGTAGTTATGCATAATATTTAGGTAGCAGTGGAGGGAGAAGATGAATAAGTCAGATTGAGGGACATAGGGAGAAGGTGGGTAGGTCGGGGAAAGAGGTGATTGAGGGATATGGAGAGGTGAGTAGGTGAGATTGAGGAATGGGGAGGTGAGATTGATAGACAGCTCATGAATTCCAGGATCCTCTATGCACCACCAGAAAGGTCAGGCCTTTGGAAGTTAGTTGGGGCTTGGTCACACAATCACTCCAGTTCAAGGCTATTTGTGAAATTTATGATCAGGGACGGGTAAAAAAGCCAGGTTATATCAATTCCAGTAAGGAATGAGAATCGAAAGCTGTAGGAATGGATTCAGGCAATCCTATGGGGCTTACTCTTCTTAGCAGTGACCAGGAGGATCAAGAATGAGGTCTGAGAAGCTGGCAGCTATTCCAGAAGGACCTAACACATCACGCAATCCCAAGTTACATTTCTCTTCCATAATTTAAAATTTGTTTTCCCGATAAGTTTAGAATATGTCCGATATGGTGGAAACTCTGATTGGTAATATTACACTTGCAGTAAAAATGAACGCGTCCATGCTTTCCACGCAAAATGTTCATGATCATGTGGCGAAGTACAGAGCAATTATTGAGAGCTGGCACAGCAAAAATTATGCCTGTGAATTTGTGGAATGTGTTGACTTTTATCATAACAGATTGCTCTTGGATGAAATTCACAAATCGAGTTTTCACGTATGGATAGTGACCGAAGTACAGACATTTTAATAGAAAAAATTTCGATTTTGTACATCAAATTTTGACCAGAATCTGAACATGCTGTCAAGACTGTCTTTGACTTATTTTGAAATTGACTTCATTGTAACAGCAATCAATTACTTTTACGTCAATAGTGGCCTTGATTTACACAAGATGGTGATGTTTGCATCAGACAGAACTTCTGTTATGCTGGGAAAGGAAAACGGAGTAACTGGAGTCTTGTGATGTGAAATCAAACATTTGTTAAAAACTGCGTTGCATAGCTCAGAGGAGGACTGGGAACAGATGATACTTGGATACAGGTGTCAATTATGCAAGATAACTGAAATGCTTTTAAGAACAACATCTACGTTGTTCAGCAGATCAACTGTGAAAAAAGGACAATTTTAGAATTTTACCAATGCACAGAGTGTGGTACAGTGGCACTTCAGCCTCTGAATGAAGTTAAGTGACTAGTCAAGACACTTTGTAGTGAGTGCACTAATGCAAAACTAAAATGTCTCAATCAAGTACTGCATAGAGCAAGTGAATAACCAACAAGTATTGCCTGAAAATGCTCACCAAGCCAAAATATCACATTACGCTGACAGCTCTGAACTCTGTGCTACATAAACTGGCATCACTGTGCAAATACTTGCAGAGCACCTGTTTGCCAACAAACGAAGCTGTGCAATTTGCAAAGTCCAAGATCAATAAACTCATGACTCAGTATTTAGATGAACATTTTCATTGGAGTTATGAAGTTAACGTAGTACTGGTTGCTCTCAACAGTGATTGGACACAACCACAATCCTTCAATTTATTCAATTGCTACGTGACCACCTGGAAAGCAGAATTCCAAATGAGGAATTTGTAATCATCAAGACAATCGATTATGCATTTGTAAAAGACAGTGTTGTGCCACTGATACTGAAATATTCCACATATCAAACTATGACAGGGTGGCTACAAAGATATCTGAACAAAACTCTGATTTTAAAAAAGTGATTGTGGAAAAAATCAAGGCAAGTTCCATTCAAACTTTGTGATTTGTTGGACTGTGCCCTAAAAGTTGACCAACTCATGAAATCTCCATTCTTTTGGACCTCTGTGCAATATTTCAGGCATCAAGTGCTGACTATAAGCGTGAATTTAGCCTCACGAATTTGATTAAGTGCAAATCCTGCAGATTAGAAATAGATCACTTGGGCAACTTGATGCAAATTAATTTGTACATTTCATCTGGACAAGATATCAACCTAGATGCAGTATACCACCATTGGGCAGCAAATAAAGACAGGTGCAAAAAGCTGCCAACAAAAAGCAGTAAATAAATTACGAGCCTCCTCTTTTTGGTCACATAGTATTTGTGGTGTACATAGTGCCACCACTTAAGCGGTCCCCAACTGCTGAGGTGAGCGAACAATTTTGTTTATTTTAGCAGGTAGAATACCTGCAACTGTAAAATAATATAAATGAATGCTTTTAACAATTGATAAACGAACTGCAAAAGAAATCGCAATATAACTTCCACTCGATGTACTTGTCCGAGTTCCGCACAGCCTCCAGAAAAATCAGAGGGAACACTGGTTGGCAGTGTCCTTTGGATTAATTATGACATGTGTGCACCATAATATAATTTTACCTGTAGCTGCTGCAATTCCCGAATATTGGCGTCACATTGGAGCTGAAGGTCTCTCATCTGATTTTCATGTTTCTGGTGCTGCTGTAACCTTTCATTTTTCTGCCTCTTCTCCTCCTGACTAGCAAACTGCCCAGATAAAGCACAGTGAGAAAAGCGAGTAACTGATCAGATAACTTGATTTGTTCAGTGAGTTAGTCAGTACCATTACAATTCAAGCTTCTCCTAACTCTCTATGTTCATAGTATGCTAGATTCCATGAGCTAGTTATGCGCCCTTTAAATGAAGCGTGAATAGCTCATGTATGAAATATGTGGATACCATCTTGCAGTGTTAATACTTAAAATTTAAGTTACACACTAGAAAAATGTTGAGGTAGCTCAGCATGATCTGTTTACCATTCAATAGGCAGAACAACACAATACCAATAGACCATGTTCCAGACTAGACTGAAACTGAATTTATAAAGATGTAAAATCAATCAGTAGAATAGACGGAAAAATAGCTCGACTTTCACCAATAGAGATAACAAGGTGTAGAGCTGGATGAACACAGCAGGCCAAGCAGCATCAGAGGAGCAGGAAGGCTGACGTTTCGGGCCTAGACCCTTCTTCAGAAATGAGGGAGGGGAAGGGGGTTCTGAAATAAATAGGGAGAGAGGGGGAGGCGGATAGAAGATGGATAGAGGAGAAGATAGGTGGAGAGGAGACAGACAGGTCAAAGAGGCGGGGATGGAGCCAGTAAAGGTGAGTGTAGGTGGGGAG